AAAGTAATAAACATAAAATTTATCAGTGTGTCCCTTGTATTTGGAAATGATTGAGGAGATCAGAACATGATTTGAGGCATCATAAAAAAGTTGTATGAAGACATGAGCAAGAATTTCTACCTTGCTGGATCCTCAAGGACAAAGTGTCTGTAAATATGGTGTCCTATGAAATCTTTTGACCAATACAGCTCAAAGTGGGCTCCAAATTGTATAAAGATTTGTGCGTTTGTATTTGTTTTTTAAAAAAATCTAGAGTTAAAGGTGAATCATAAGGTGATTTCCTAGATAGCTTTAATCAAATTGGTTGGATAAAACTTGTGATTAGCTTGAATAGTGATAATCAACATCAAAACAGAATATAGAAGCTAAAGACTGCAGCTACTACAAATACAAAATTAAGAGATATTTAGCTTATGAAACAAACTATTCTACGTCTTAAGGAAACAACAGAGTTTCTCCTTTCCCTTGCCTACCACATGGGTTAAAAAAAGACTTTATTGAATGTTTTCAGTATGTAATGCATCTAAACTAGTTGAAAAATAAAAACTTGAGAATGAAGCAGAATTCTACAGCTGTTATGTGTATTTTTTCAACATGACTTTATATAAAACAAGCTGTGGGCTTTAAAATTGTATTATATTCTACAGTCCTCAAATAGAAAAGTTCATTTTCTAAAACAGTATCTCCTTTAAATAGCTTGCTGTATAATCTCAAATTTCCTCAGTCATAGTTTTCTCTAGAGACAGATGTTTGAAAATAAATACAATCTGTGGTCAGAACATGAGGGGAGTGAGAAAACAAAATTTTGTTTACTGACTGGCTAGATTAAATTAAAAAAAACAACAAGAGGCTGAACCACTTATAACTGAACCATAGATAATCCAGATCTAAAGAAATGATCTTTATTGTAAAGGGGGGGGATTACTAATATTTTAAAAGAAAATAAAGACATCTAAAAATGCATCTGGCCAACCATGTATCAATCTTAACTGAATAAAACCCGATCTAGCAAAATTAGAGGTGAGAACTGCCACAGCATCTTATATCTCAGCATAATAAAACTTCATAATATACAGAAATGTTAATAGTTAGAAATCGTTTCAAACTTCCATGAACACCATTATATTTGAACACCATAGAATCTTGGCTACTTCCTTCCATGCCATCATTTTTAACTCTATTTCACCACTGCCTACTTTCCTACTCTAGTCAAGCTTATCAAATACAATACTGGAAATGCTCTCTTGTTTTATTAAAAAAAAGAAAGCTGAATCTGAACATCTAGTTACATTCTTAGAAAAGCAGGAAAACAATGAAATGCTTTGGATTTGATCTCCAAAAATTCCGTCACTCATGGGAGTGTAGGAAAAAGACAAAATTGCTTTGAGAAGTTGGAGGTATTATATTTGTGCTCCTCAGGTTCTGAAGCATCTTTTGGAGATAAAATCAGAAGCCCTTTAAAGTAGTAATAATGTATTTCTTCATTTCCGAAGTCCTGTCATAAAAATGCAACTCTATATAATTACAGGTGTTATTACTTCTGATATTGTTCAAAATATTAATTTGAAACCTATTTTTACATAAATCCTGAGAGTCTTTCTTCCTTTTCGCAAACTTTTCTGTAGCACTTTATGGTTCTATTTTATGACCTGTGGTTACAAAAATAAACTTATTTACACTTATTTTATTATTACATCTTAAATACTGAAGCAGTTTTTATAAAGGGGGTTACTTCAATTTTAATTTTAATTTTCCCTAGTTGAAGAAGACTGTAATGTAAGAGCACCGGATATTTAAGTAAATTTGCTTATGAAGTTCAGTCTTATTAATAACTGAAACAATATCTGAACTTATATTAAAAGCAATGATTAAACCTAGTCTGTAGCTTTATTTTACTTTATAGAATATTAACAATAAAAGCTTCTTTCCCTTGAAACAGAATCTTCAGAGAGATTTAGTAGATAATACAGGGAAAAAAATAGTCTCCAGACTGCTTTGTATTTGTATACCGTGTTTCTCACATAATAAGGCCGGGCCTTATTTTTTTTGACCCCCCAAAAAACAGCTAGGCCATCTTTTCGGGGGTGACTTAATTCGCCCCCCTTGCATCCTCGGGTGGGAGCGTGGCGACAGCTTGGATGTTCGGGAGACCTTCCGCCACCGTTGCTTTCCCTTCTCCCTTGCTGCCGCGGCGTTAGAGCAACGCCGCAGCGTTTGGCGCAGCCACGTGTGGCCAGTCAGAGCTCCTCCCTGCAACCGGAGCCCTGAGGAGACACTTGGCTTCAGGCGCTCCTGTCGCCACCTTCCCTTTGCCTTCGAAGGTAAAACAAATTAATTTAAAAACCTCCGCTCATCTCACCAGGGCCACGCCGGAGCCATGCGGGCTGGGCAGAGCTGGGAAAGCGAGCTGCGGGTGTTTTCTGGCTCTGCCCAGACCGCACGGCTCCGGTGCGGCCCTAGCGGGATGAGTGGAGGGTCCGGCGGGGAGGCACTTGCTGCCTTGGTGAGAGCTCTGCCGTCGGGCAGGAGGGCCCACCTGTCAGCTTCGCCTGGGGCGCCCAGCGCAACTGACAGGCGGGCCCTCCTTCCCGGCGGCAGAGCTCTCACCAAGGCAGAGCGCCTCCCCGCCGGACCCTCTGTTCATCCCACCAGGGCCGCGCCAGAGCCGTGCGGGCTGGGCAGAGCCGGGAAAGCGAGCCGCGGGTGTTTCCTGGCTCTGCCCAGCCCGCATGGCTCTGGTGCGGCCCTGGCGGGATGAGCAGAGAGCCCGGCGGGGAGGCGCTCGCTGCCTTGGTGAGAGCTCTGCCGCCGGGCAGGAGGGCCCACGTTTCAACAGCGCTGGGTGTCCCAGGCAGAGCTCTTCGCGCTCCCCCCACCATTTCCCCCCATTTTGCATGCTTAATATGAGCCTTAATTGGGGGGGGGGCTTAATTTGATTTTATGCCAATAAATCATGCTGGGGCTTCCTATTGGTGGAGGCCGTATTGTTGGAGAAACATGGTACTAAAAACACAGCAACTAATCGCCTTCAACAATTAATCTCATACCTATCTGATCTTCATAGTACTAAACAGAAGCATAGCAAAAAAGAAAGAAAAAAAGAAAGAAAAAAACCAGTATCTTTTCATGCAGTATGTAATTTTTCTCTGTTTTTTCTTTGAAGTTAAGAAGATCACATTTCCATATTCTGTCTATGCATACACTAAGATTCACAATTAAAAGAAAGTTCTGGTAAACCAGATAATATTTCTGGATATGATAAGACCAAACCTATAGTGCCACAGTCAAAGCATTAGCATTATTTTAGTTTGCTATATTTTTATGTTGCTTTAAAAGACTACCAAATTAAAATCAAGTAGCACATTGGTGGATAAGGCTATATTCTTCTGTCATCAGTTGCTGTTTAAAGTTATCTGTAGCTAGAGACAAGATTCAGAATTCTTGCTTTGTTTAGACTTCTAATGGTTATCCCCAGCTCCAGGAATAACATATCTTAATACATCCAATTCATGTTAAAATGACCGTAGGAAAAAGCCAGCATGCATTGGGGAATATTAACTTTAGGATGAATCATTCAAAGGGAATGAGACGGAAAATGTTAATCACCCCAAAAAGGAACAGGATAGGAACAATTAAAAAAACAACAACCAGGAAAATAGCCAGTTGAAAAGACAGGATTATAGCTGAAAATGCCAGGCAAGAAGCATTAGAAGTGACAACATATAATCTCAACACCTATGATAGAAACTTTAGGAGGAAATGGCTATGATGTTGTTCCTCTGTAAGTCAAAATGTGCACAGATTTTTTTTTAAAAAAGATCCAAATTGAAATCTTAAAAAGAAGCAGTTTTTGACAGACATGCCAGTCCTCAAACACAGTAAAAGTACTAGAAGAAGTGTGTTAAAAACCATAAAACCCTGAGCTGATCTTAACATGAAAATATTATTAGGAAAACATCCAAAAAAGAAGCATAAAAATTATAAAAGACTTCAAATTAACATTTTTGACTGGATAAATAAGAGTAGTGAAAAAAGGGAGCCAGTATACACCATGAACAATTATGCCAACAAAAAAGATCATAGAACTAAAAACAAAAAAGCTCTTTTACTGATTTCACTGTCATTCTTTCTGATCATCCAAGACAAAGGAAATTCAGTGCCTAGATATCTATTTTGTAAAAAAGGAACTTGTAAAAAATGAGGAAACTGATATGAAGTAATAGAACAGAGCTCCAGATCTGAGCCCCCACATTTTTGATTACTAAATGGCAGCTAAGGGGTAGATGTTTTGTATGTCTCAGTTGCCACCAAGTGACAGTTGTTTGCTCAGTCCAGATCTAGTAATCTTGAAATAGATAGCACTGACAAAATGCAGTCACCAGCAATTTGTAAAGTCTTTACCACAGTAACATATGAGAGGGAGGGAAGGAGGGAGGGAGGGAGAGAGAGAGAAAAAAAAAGAGAGGGGGGGGATATACACAAATTGTATGGATACCCACGTTTAGTGAATATCCATACAATTTGGATATTAATCTAATATTGTAATTAAAATTTCAACAAGAGTCCAGCAAAAGCCAAACTATACCATTATAAAGACTACCCATACATTCAATATTTGGCTCTAAACTCATCAACTGAATTACAAAAACACTGTTAGAAGATAAAGCATTTTTAAAAGGAAGTAGAACATGAATCTATATTACTATTCCTGCCTGTTGAGATAACAGTTTGTTTTACCAAATCTTCTTTTTAACAGAAACACATTGGTGGCATTGAGAACAAAAATTCCAAGTCTCAATATTTTTAGTATGACGAAGGGAGAATATCTTTAATTAAAATATATCCTTATTTTTCATAATCATTAAGATGCTCATCCATTACATCATTCATTTTTGCTGTCAATCAAATGCCAAAGTACAGACTATTATTACAGGATTTGTTATGTAATATTTATATATCAGAACTGCTGTATTTCATCTCTCCTAATATATATGGGTTACCTTTAAAGCTTCTATAACAAGATCTCTGGCTTCTAATTCACCTTCAAGGATACTAAAAAGTGTCAGTAATTCAGCTTTGTTGAGTTTTTCGAGATTCATCTTGAATATCTGGAAAAAAAATTGGAAATTTAGCCAAATACTGTTTGTATAGTGAAGCCTATTTTAAGAATGCAATACAATACCCATAATTGCAACAATGATATTTTAATGTTTTCTAAGTACTTCTAATTTTTCATCATCACTATAATTACTTGAGGAAAAAAACCCTAATTATTCATCTTTTCTCATGTGGTCACAAAATGATATATGTATATCTTACTTGGTTTGGATAGAACACATGCATTCATACGGAAGTCAAGATAAATATTTAAGATCTCTACCAAAGTGGACTCAATCTACATTTACATTAATAATTTAAAATATTTAAAATAAAGGGATATAAAATAATCAGTAGACAAGACAAACCGATTCTTTTACCACCTCAGGATTTCTAAAACCTACTTTGTTTTTAGAAAAACAGTCTTTGCTGGGGCACATTTTATCTCAAGAGAGAGTTTATTGCATTCAAACTGCTCCACAGTCACCATCACCTTTTTGCTAATATTTGTATTGTTCCACAGAGATTCTGAAAAAAATGAAGGTGCAGTTGTGCTTGCTTGAGGTGTAATACTTTTCTAGTTGCAATGCTTTTAAACGTAAGCGCTAAGTACATAAGAATATTAAAAATATGATTTTATTGATTTTCCAATGAATTAAATGGATTACCATACACATTACAGTAAAATATTAACTCAAATTTCAAATTCTGAAAGGCAAGGAGAGTAAAAGAATATTTACTTATGGTCTCAGCAGAGATTCTTCTTCAAATGAAGCACAATTATTATCTTTTTACTATTGTGCCAATGTAAAATCCACTGTAACAGTACATTTTAAACTGTCATCATACCAAATATTAATAAACGAATTGTCTAGTCATAGCTGGAAAACTCAACTTTTCTATGAAACACTTTTATACACACATTTTAAAGTTGTTACAATAGTTCAAACATATTCTACAATGAAATAATTTCTATATAAAATAAATAACAATACAAACTGTATTTAAAAAAAAAGTTAAAAAGTGATATGAACTTTTTAAAAAAAGTACTGTTACAGAAAGTTTTTGAAACTACAGAAGACAATTAAAAATAAGAAATCACCTTATTTTTCACTAAGCAGTAAATTGCCAAGTAATTTAAATCAACAAATTAATGTATTTTTAGATAGTTTCACTCTTAGAAACAGTAAATATCTAAGTATTGCAAAATACAGGGTGATTTCTTTTCAGAATGATAGCATTTGCATCTTGTGGTATACAGAGATATTATCAATATTGTGCATTTTATTCCACACACACAGCAAAACAAACTATCTTTTCTATACAAGAATTACAAAAATACAAATTGTGTAACAAAAGCAGAACCCACCCCCTCCCAGTTCTTAATTGATATTAGAAAAATGAAAATACCAACCCCAGGACATATTTGAAAACCCCTGATTAAATGATGCTTCAGAAAATTAATATAAATATTAATGTTTATTAAGCATTATACACATTAGAGGACAAAAATTTAAAATTACAATATTCATAAACTAGGAGATGAAGTGTTAGCAAGCCATAGAAATAACAAATAGCTAATATAAAAATATAGTAACTACAACTGTTCTATGTACAATTGGATATCTTTTCTAGGAATAAAATATCCAATTGGAATTTAACTTAATCTGTCCTGTTATTGTAACAAGGCTGCTCTGTACATTAATTTTATTAAAGTTCATTATATCTAAGTACCGTAACAGTGAAATTTTCTGTTTGGTATCATGTGATAAAACTTGTTCATGTGGTATGACATTCATATGATATGGAATATGTAGGTCATAATAACGTCTTCGTAAGTTTACAAATGTAGCTTCCTTCATCCTGATGAAAAATCCCCCAGTCTAATGAAATATTTAGAAATAAGTTTTGCAATCAGAAGACTTAAAATACTAGTTTTATTTATGTTGATGCCGGTAGATTACTCATTTAGAATTAATGTTTATTTGCAGTAACATTGTAATTAACACAATCATCTCAAAGACAGTCCTATTAAGTTACATGGATTATTGGAACCAAACTTCATTTTAAACTGTTAATTTAGGATGCAATCCAATATCAATTTACCTAAGATTCCTGATAAATTTGTATTTCAATTTATTTCCAACATCTGAAATTTTATTTTTTCTCTTATTTTAATAAGAAATATGATAATTGCCTCATAAATCCCACAAAGTACAAAAATATAAACCAAAATATATACCATATATACTTGTGGATAAATCAATCTTTGGATAAGCCAACCCTCAAATGTTTAACCAAAATGCCATGAAATAAATGTGTCATCTGTGGATAAATTAAGGTGCAATTTTTCATAGTTTTTTTGATTAAAAATGTAGAACCCTGCTTATTCAGTGTGTCGGCTTATCAATGATTATATATGGGAAATATGGTTATTTTAAAAATGAATTATCATATATATTTATGAATGATCTGATTTTGGAGGTGTATTTTGGCCACAATTCTCAGCTTATCCACAAGCACATACAATATTCTTATGCTAAACAAATTACAACTCTTCTGTGGCTTAATTTTTTTCACGTTTCTGGAAATCTCTGACAACAGAATCCATATTTTTCACATAAAGAATTAAAAATATACATTTGCATAGACATTTATATTTTTCTAGACTTGTGTAGATAATTTTTAAACATACAGGAAGCAGTAGCATTTAACAAGTATGAAGTTCATATAAAGCTGCAGATAAAGTCTTCATTGAATGGAGCTCAATTTCTGGTGGCTTCATGGATATGATGATATTGCAGGGGTGTCAAACTCAAGGCCCGGGGGCCAAATCTGACCTGCTGGTGCTTAGATATGGCCTGAGGTGCCGCTGCCAATGAAAATGGAGCTTAGGAGAGCCATGGACAGCCCTCACAATCTCTGTATTAGCTGGCTGAGGGTTGCAGGAGGTTGTCGCAGCCAAAAACGGAGTTCACAAGAACTGCAGGCGGCCCTCATGAGCTCCATTTTCACTGACAGACTGTTTCAGGAGACCATTGCAGCCAAAAATGGAGCTCGGGCACCTGTTTTCACGGGTTAGAGTGCTCAGACCACCATAGGCGCCCCCAACATGAGTGATGTCGAGCTAGCCATGTCCATTCTGGTCTCCAGAGGTCAAACAAAATCCTGATGTGGCCCTCAATGAAATCAAGTTTGACACCCCTGCAATATTGACTTCTTTGATACTCTATGGAAGTGGGTTGATACTACTTTCCTCTGGGAATTGAGTTTGAGGTTTCTTAGTGGTCTCAAAAACAATCAAATTGGGCTAAAGTTGTCAACAGTTCAGCCAAGGCCAGGGTCCCCAATAGATACACATATTTGTGTGTGTGTGTGTGTGCACATATAATTTTATAGACCCATTTTTTTATTCTTTTACACATACTGTAAAATTACCGTATATACTCGAGTATAAGCCGAGTTTTTAAGCACATTTTTTGTGCGGAAAAAAAACCCCTCAGCTTATACTCAAGTGAGATTCCCTCTGAAAAAAAAAATGGTGTGGAGCTCCGGAGCTGGGCAGCCGCTTCCCTGCTTCCGTGTTTCCTTTGCAACTTGTAAGCATGGGGGTAATCGGAAGCAGAAAAGTTCTTGCATGAGGATATATTGTTTTTTCTTTATTTAACTGTTTTAGGGGGAGGAAAAGACCCACTGTCATGTGAGAATGCTCAGACACGAAATCTGTCCACCTGAAAATAAGTGTGTGTGGGGGGGATTTTAATAGAGGGAAGACATAGGGAGAAGGCAAAAGCGACGGAAGATCCTTCAGGGGAAACTGAGGGGGAGACTCACCCTTGGTCCAGATGAGCCCCCTTCCCCGCCCCTAAGGAAGCAGAGGCAGGCAGCAAGGGCAGGCAAGCCCCGCTTCGCGGACTCCGTCCGTCCTCGCTCCCACCCACCCACCCAAAGCCACGAAGTCCCCCAATCGCACAGCCCAGAATCGCCCTCCCCTCAGGGGGCAGCAACGATGACGCCCGGTGTTTCCTGAAACAAGAAGCTCCGACGTGCAATGAAAGCGCCCTGGCTCTAGGCTCAGAAAACAATGCAAGCCACTGCCGCCCCCTCCTCCTCCCCCTCCTCCTCCCGAGGGGACTGAAAGCAGCTAGGGCTGAGGAAACGAAGTCATCTCGGCTCGCATTGTTTTCTGAGATCGCAAGCCTAGAGCCAGAAAACAATGCGAGCTGCTGCCACCACCTCCTCCTCCTCCTCCTCCCGAGCGGATTGAAAGCAGCTAGGGCTGAGGAAACAAAGTCACCTCGGCTCGCGTTGTTTTCTGAGCCTAGAGCGAGGGCGCTTTCATTGCACGTCGGAGCTTCTTGTTTCAGGAAACACCGGGCGTCGTCGTTGCTGCCCCCTGAGGGGAGGGCGATTCTGGGCTGTGCGATTGGGGGACTTCGTGGCTTTGGGTGGGTGGGTGGGAGCGAGGACGGACGGAGTCCGCAAAGCGGGGCTTGCCTGCCCTTGCTGTCTGCCTCTGCTTCCTTAGGGGCGGGGAAGGGGGCTCATCTGGACCAAGGGTGAGTCTCCCCTCAGTTTCCCCTGAAGGATCTTCCGTCGCTTTTGCCTTCTCCCTATGTCTTCCCTCTATTAAAATCCCCCCCCCCACACACTTATTTTCAGGCAGACAGATTTCGTGTCTGAGCATTCTCACATGACAGTGGGTCTTTTCCTCCCCCTAAAACAGTTAAATAAAGAAAAAACAATATATCCTCATGCAAGAACTTTTCTGCTTCCGATTACCCCCATGCTTACAAGTTGCAAAGGAAACACGGAAGCAGGGAAGCGGCTGCCCAGCTCTGGAGCTCACACCATTTTTTTTTTTTTCAGAGGGAATCTCACTTGAGTATAAGCCGAGGGGTTTTTTTTCAGCACAAAAAATGTGCTGAAAACTCGGCTTATACTCGAGTCAATAAGTTTTCCCAGTTTTTTGTGGCAAAATTAGGTGCCTCAGCTTATATTCGGGTCGACTTATACTCGAGTATATACGGTAGTTAGATGTTTAATAAACATTCTAGTCACAAACAGGAAAACTTTTTTCTTTTTTTCTATCATTCATTCTCTGCCATTTGTCCCTTTTTTCCCCTGTGATTTTTCAGCTGTTTTAGGAAATAGCCAGCAGTGATGCCAAACAATAAATCTAAGCTACTGGAGACAGAGGCTGCAGATCTATGCAGTCTTTGAATTAGTGACTGTTCTCAAAGAAACCAAACACTAATACCTAAATTTTCCACAAATAACAAGTTGATGCTGAAATGAAGAACTGCTTGAATTTTCTGACATATCCATCCTGGTTCATAGTATCAGATTTGGACAGAAAAGAATTTGAAGCACTTAAGGATTCTAAATTGTTGATTTAAACAATAACACAGCATGAAGCAATATGTTAGTATAGTTAGGCCCTATTATTAAACACGGGTCTGAGATTTAAAAAAATCTCAGGGAGTGCCACAAAGAAGAGGAAGTCAAGCTATTCTCCAAAGCACCTGAGGGCAGGACAAGAAGCAATGGGTAGAAACTAATCAAGGAGAGAAGCAACCTAGAAAGAAGAAGAAATTTCCTGACAGAACAATTAATCAGTGGAACAACTTGCCTCCAGAAGTTGTAAATGCTCCAACACTGGAAGTTAAGAAGAGATTGGGCAGCCATTTGTCTGAAATGGTATAGGCTTTCCTGCCTAAGCAGAGGGTTGGACTAGAATACTTCCAAGGTATCTTCCAAATCTGTTATTCTATTATTCTATTCTGAGTGTTTTCTATATGCCAAAAAAGTAACACAAATTGAGAGAATGAAACTGCAGTGATTTGGTAGAATGACCTACTGCGCTCCTGTTTTATTCTCTCCAAATACTAGTTATTCATATTCCTTATAAATCTGTGCTATTTATTGCTGATTTATCTTTCTCCCATGTGTTTTATGGCAGCAATAAGATACAATGTCATGTGTTTCATGGCAGCAACAAGATACATTTTTTTCAAACATTAATAAACAGAAGCAAGCTTTGCTAAGTTTCTTCCCATCTGATGGCTAACACAGTATCTTTATGGAAAATCTTATCAGCCTAATTTATTACCTAATATGAATGGATACCAACTGTATATAAACCTGTATAATGTATTGTTGGTATAATAATTAAGGCTAGTGTAATCATCCCTTTCAATCTAGACATTAATTTCACCTCTTGCATGCCATGCCCCCAAATCATATTAAATCTTGATGACATTAGGTTTACATTATATCAAGGATTTTAGATTTGAAATCTTTCATTTTGAGAATCAAGCTTTCCATATTTTCTAGGACTGTATATCAATCTGTTTTTTTGTCTATACTGACAGAAGAACATTCTTATTCTCCACTTAGAAATACATCTTTGGTAATAGAAAAAGTTATCTATTACGGAAATATAATCTATTTCTAACAGACTGAGAAAAACGTATAGAAATAGAATTTACAGTTATTTAATATGGATACACCCTTTAACATTACATGTGAAATCTGAAATTAATCTCCATTTGACATAAACTAAATTGCTCCTTTTGGAAATCCCCTGCCAGTGTGAGGCAGGACACATGGAAATAACAACACTGAAAGCTGAATGAAACATGAAGAAATGATACATTCAGGATTATTTAGTGATGATCTTAATACTAAAAATAACACTATTCTATTAAGGTATCAGTAAATAAATTCTTAAAAGATTATGTCTAAAACAAACCACTGTGTCTGTTTGAAGTCCCTGTACACATCCATAGTTATAGGCAAATAATCATTTCAGCAATTATTTGCCAGTGCTAAAAAATCAGACACCAGAGAGCATCCACTCTTGTGAGTTACAAAATGCATGATTAAATAAAGTATCGGGGAGAATTGACTTCAGACATACTGTACAAGACTATAACAACATTAGTATCAAACATTTCATCAGAATATGGAATACATATTTAAAATACGTAGCTAGATACTTCCCTACCAGCAGTTAATTTTATTATTTCAAATTAAAAACTTTTGATATACTATATTTTATTGCAGTAGCATCTTGATTTACAGGCATTCAGAAAAGTTTCTAATTTTTATCTTCTGTGCTTGTCTAGCTACTCAGCATACTTCCAACAACGACTAAGATAATATGTATCATTATGTGCAAAGATACTGGACTTCCTGATGACAAACTAACAAAAGTAATCAGAATTGTTTAATGAGTGCAAATATTTTATTTTCAATAAGACTGAATATTTGTTTTTTGTTTTTTTGTAATCACAGGAAGGTAGTTTTCAGCTTTGATATAAGAGTTTTAAGCAAACTATTCTTCCCTTTCTTTTAAAGAAAACACATACTTCTATTTACATACCCTTATGATGGTACAAGGCTATCTACACACTAAATGATTAAATGTGATTTCATTAGCCTATAAAAACAGCTTAACAGGACGAGCCTATGAAAAAACAACCATTGGCATTTTTCCAATCTTGAACAGACATTGGTCATACAGATCAAAAAGAAATCCAAAACAGTCATCTCATAAGCTAGTTACAAATGAAATAAATACAAGAACATTATTTCCTAGGTCCAGGTTGTTTTCCAAAACAGGACTGACCAATAGTTGTATAAATACTACCTTTCTCCTTCTTACGAATATGTACCTCCAATCCATCTTCTGACGTTATTCAGTTGCATCTATCAACACTTCACTGTTTAATTTTTGCCCTTAACAACTTAATAACTACATTTACTTCTCCATTTCCGGAGGCATCTTAAAAACTTGCCTGGCCACAACAATGCCTCCTGATCCAGAGAGTAGTATTTTGCACGGCAGCATCCCTAGGTCTTATAATACGAGTATCGGGAGTAAACAGGTTTAGCAGCATTTGCCTAATTTAATTTCCAGAAGGAATTGTGAAAGCAGCCAAGCCAAAGCCTAAGAAATTAATCTACCCCGCCCTTATCTCCCAACTATTAGATTCTCACGGCCACTTCACATCTTATACGGCTAGATATCGATCTAGCCGCCCGATTATTTAAAACGCTCGAGTGGTTGGTTTATTCTAAGCTTCAGATTTCGCAGCCCCGTTTCTAAACAACAACGGGACGCAGGCAAGCCCCCTTTTTTCCTGGGTGTGTGGGTGGGACACAACTAACAGATTTCACTTACCGCCGTTCGCGAACCAGAACACGCTTCCTTTGAATCCCCCTCAGTCAAGTCCCTGACTTTCTCTCTACCCGCCCAGGGCCTCGAGCCCCACCGCCTTCACCCCATTAACCCCATCAGCCCCCCTGACAAAACTCCAGCTCTCAGAGCTGCGACGGTGGCTACCGCGACAATAGCCCGCGGTCCTCTCGGGTCTGAAGCGCGTCGGCTTTCCCTCCCTCGTATCCCGCGGCTCTCTCGGGCAGAGGGGCCCTCACGCCAACGGGCCTCCAGGTGGCTCCCGCCTCTCCTCCCTCCCCCTTGCCGGTTCCCAAAGGCACAGGCGCGCGCGGGGATGCTCCGGCGCGCCATTTCCCAGCCAAAGGCCCGAAGCCGCCAGAAGCAAGTCCGATCTGGCGCCGACCTACCAGGAGCTCGGCCAAACGCCCGCAGCCGCCGTCCTCGCCGCCACCGCCTTCGTCGCAGCCAAAGCCAACGTCCCCACTCGGCCCCACTCTCCATCCAGCCTTCTGGAGCGCTCCAAGATTGACGTCTCCCATCACCAACCGGTGTCCAGCGAAGCCCAGGCACTTGGCCAATCGGCAAATGTAGGGGCGGGGACGATAAAATAGTTAGTCCCTTCAACGTTTTTTCTAGCCAATCAGAAGCCGAGACCGGTGGTTTGTTGAGGAGGGTGTGTATGTCGGTCTCCGAACGGGCTTGAAAAAAAACCCCTTTTGTTCGCTGTGGTTGAAGTAGATAGAGCGGAGTTCTGATTGAGACGTCACTTCCGGAGAAAGGTTTTCGCTCAGCGTTTTTAGGTTGTTTGCAGACGTTCGGTCAGACGTTTTCTTTAGTTTCTTGAAATTTTGCCGTCGAGATGTATGCCGGTGAAGCGGGATGATATCGCGCTGTTTATAGACTATTGCACCTTTTACTCCTTTTGTTGAGACTTCTGGGTTTCTTGGTGGGTGCCTGCTTGTAAACCGGGTCTTCTAATAAAAGCTCGGGTTTATTTTTGAGCAAGTTTTTTAAACGTGGATTTAAAAAATATAATGTTGGATATGTGTGTATGTATCAGTACATGTAGTTCATGTCCTATACAGCAGGGCTTACTCCCCCCTTCAGTGCGCTTGTTTTGATGGTTCGTTGTCATAAAGCTGTCCTCTGCCAAGGACCTTCGAGTACTCATCTCTAATGATCTAAGTACTACAGCCCACTGTAAGTACATAGCCAAAAAGGCATTAAAAGTTGTTAATTTAATCCTACGTAGCTCATCAGTCTGGAACCGGCATTATGTATCTGATATGAGAAAGTCCAGAAATATTTCACAAGATTCTCCACTCCTCTACTCGCTGCAGAATACCTTATGCCACCAGACTTGAAATTGTAGACCTAGAAAATCTAGAACTACGCCGCCTTCGGTCCGATCTAAGTATAGTATATAAAATTATACATTGCAATATCCTACCTGTAAATGAATACTTCCGCTTCAACCATAACAATACAAGAGCATACAATAGATACAAACTCAAGGTTAACCTAACCAAACTCGACTGCAGAAAATACGACTTCAGCAACAAAGTAGTCAATGTCTGGAATACTCTACCTGACTCTGTGGTTTCTTCCCCCAACCCCAAAAACTTTAACCTTAGACTGTCTACTATTGACCTCACCCCTTTCCTAAGAGGTCTGTAGGGGGTGTGCATAAGGGCACCAACGTGCCTACTGTCCCTGTCCTATTGTTTCTTTTTTATTTTTCTTATATGTATCGATCTCATGTATTCATAGCTATGTTTATACTTATACCTGTTATCTTATAATTGCTTGACAAAAATAAATAAATAAAGCATGAAAACTCCCCCCAAAACGGGTGTCTTTCCAGTTACCTCCAAAGTACTAGTTATCCATGGTGCATGGGCAGCAATTTCAGTGTATTCCTCGTTAATTCAAAATGATAAACGGGAATCTGCACCTATGGGCGTCCCTTTGACCTATATAGAATCTATGCCCCTCTGTTGCACAGATGCAATTCCTTTTCAAGTTGGCTTGAATGCTAAATCATCTTAATCCTGTGTAGATGGAATTGTAGCCGATATCATTTTTTAAGGGTTTCATACCTGTTGAAAGATCTGGTAATTAAATCAGAATGAAACCAGTGATGTCATAGTGATATCATGTCACAAACTCCACCCTTAAGTATTTGTGTCCTGATACCTCAGGGGTGTCAAACTGGTGGGCCGCGGCCACATTCGTTATGCTCAGGCCATACTCACCAGGTCCGTGAAGGAAAAACGTAAAATGTCATGTAATGGCAATGAGACGTGAGTTTGACTCCCATGTGATCCCTGATTTATCTATAACATTATGGTTTGTTAAGACTACAGAAGGATAGTTGAAGTGAGGTCTTTTTCAGGCATACCTGTAGCTGTCAGGAGCTTTCTAGTTTGTGATACTCAAGCCCTTGCATAACACTATGACTGGTATATCTTGTTAGACAACATATATTGTTCATATTTCAGACATTTGTATGTTTTTCTCCTGCCCTCTGAAATATTGAATTATGGGTGGAGATAAAATTCTTCAAGACCAATGTTTTTGTTTGTTTGTTTTCTTCTGTTCATCCCTGTCCAATTCCTGGAGACTTCCTGGAGAAGTCCCTCCAATTTTCTTGGAAAGGTTTTTCAGAAATAGTTTGTTGTTGCCATTTAATTGATTAGCTAGAAATATTCAAAATATTAATGTCTGGCTATGGGCTGTAGAAAAAGTGTGCAACCTGACTTAATTTTTGATATGGCTTCTGAAAAAACAAACATGTTTGCAGACTGCTATTAAGAATATTATTGCTTCTGTAGCTGAGATAGAAAGGTTGGAGATTTAGATAGAAAGGTTGGAGATTTACATAACATGTAAACTCCTTCACCCACACACAGCAAATGAATGTTGAAATTAGAAATTTTCTAGAATGTATAGAAGCATGACTTCATATTCTGAGCTCATTGCTGTTATCCAAATTATAAAAATAAAACAATAATTTTCTTAAACTTGTTTCATATGAATATGTGATTTCATGATTGTTAGCAATGTATTCCTTAAATGTCCCATTGACTTAATTTCTTTCAAGCGATGAAAACAAGTTCAGAAGCAAATATGTCATTGCAGTGAATGTGATGACCCGGGGCATGGCACAAAGGCAACATAGCCAGAATAATAAGTAGGGGTTTCTTTATTAGCTCCAACTTTGCCCCCAATGTTCCGGTTACCTTCTGATCTGGAGAAAAACTTTCCCAGGAACCTGCAACAGTCTTTGACTACAGATATTCTAGTCCAAAACATTATAAACAGGAAACTTTAAACTATGAATTCAGCAAGATAAGATAACATAATAAATCTGGCAGGGCAAGATAAGAAATTCCAGAAGTGAAGTAACACGGCAGTAAATTAAACCAGTTGGGAGGATGCCAGGAACCCATAACAGGAACCAACATGCTTGTTTCTGACAAACGCCCCTCCCAAACTGCCTTTCCTTTAAACTTCATTCTGAGATGTGCCTTGTGAAGGGAATCAGGGTCCTTTCCTCCCTCATAAGCCACACAATCCACATTGCTCTCTTTTCTTCCCTGTGTGCCCTAGGATGAAGAGGGGGTGGGCCTTGGTCTTTCTCTGAACCCCCTCTTCCTTGTTCTACCTCGTCCCTGCTCTGCCCAGCCTTACTTTGCCCTTCCCCAGTTTCCTCCACAGCCAACGGAGCCTTTCTTCTGCTCCCTGTCAGCTGTTCATCTTCTTCCTCGGATTCAGACTCCTATGGGGGCATGACAATGAATTTAAGCTTTAATTACATTATTAATCAAATTGAGAGATCCTTAATTTCTATAAAGATAGTGGTTTGATTCAAGCTAAAAACAATTTGAAGGCACCTTAATCATGGATTAAAAATGTGTCTAGAGGAAATAACATTCTCTGAATAGTGCATCATTTTTTATACCCAAGATTTATAGTCATCATGTGTAAGAAGCTGTTTTATTCTGTGTTGGACACTTTGTTCTTGGGGTGCTAGTGATGGTTCAAATTTCATAGCATCATTTTCCCCCCAATCTGACCTGGAAATGTCAATGTCTGCATAAATGTGCATTTCTACTGAACTTTCATTTTTCCAAATGAAGAAGTTTGTTTTGTATTTATATATTCGGGTTATATCCAAACAGGAACTTAAATCCTATATAAACATATGTAGAAATAAAATATTCTTAATACCATCACAAAATAATTCCACTATTGCCAGTCTAAAGTCTGGATGAGACTCTGTGACAAGTCATCCGAGATTTCAATCTCACACATCATTATGCATCAAACATAACAACACTCGAAATGCAAACATGTGAGATGCTGCAGACCGGACAAAGTGGCGGATGAGATGCTAAACCGTGGATCCTACAATATGGGGAAAATAATGCAAAGAACAACAAGAATACCATCACAAAATAGAAAATACAATATCCATAAAGGGAACAAAGTTAACATTGCCTTGCATACAATTCGTGTAAATATGTATAAATATTTAAAATATGTGCAAATAGTCTCTGAATTATGTAAATCAGCCAAAGAGTACTGGCTGCTAGGAAACAGAAGCATGGCTTTTTCCTCAGTGGCCCCTGCTCTATCCTTCCCTTAGATATTAGACTGTCCCATCTCTATTAACCTTTTGTAAGGATCTAAAAACCTGGCTATATTCCTGAGCTTGGTTGCTGAATATGATAAGTGTCCCATTTCCTGATTGTATTGCTAAATGGGCAAATATCTTGGCTGCTGTGTATATTTATTTTGGATGTTTTTGTTTTAAAATGGTTTTACTATTGTTGATTATAATGTAGTTTTTAACTGAGTTGTTGACTGAGATGGGGCGGTATAGAAATTGAATGAATGAATAAATGAATAAATATACATATTTAATGCAATTTATACTGAAATAAATTTCACTACATGAGGACTGTCAGCAGATGACCTCTCTATTCTGTTTGGTATCCACATGCTAATGGTTGATGGGCTACTTCAAATTTTATGCCATTCTCCCTCAACCTTTTCTTAATTTTTGAAGTGGAATTGTAATGAACAACTAAACTGCGCAAAGCTTCAACATAGTCACATAACATAAAAATCAAGTTTAAAGTGTTACTAGTTTTATACCCGATATAAATAGCACTTTCAAAGCACATGACTAACTCATTGGATGAGCCACTAAATTAACATGTGCAACTTGCTACAGAGTGAGCATATTATTTACCATTTAAATGATCTTACCAATAATTTAATAGGGCATATTTCAAACTTGCTCTTTTCAAAGTTTCATCCTTTGCAATTACACCTTTTGATGATAGACTTGAAAAGTGGTTGTGTAGATGAAATTAGAAACCTGTAGGGGTTCAATTTCTTGGAATCATTCAGTTCAATTATTTAATCAGTAAATTTGTCTTACCTGAAAGCATACTTTAAAAGACATGCATTTGCATTTGACATGAGTTTTATAATTTAAAAACACAATGATTGTCATTATGCTACAA